CTAGACCGTTGACGATTGGTTGCTGACAGACTGATGCGTTGCAGGGTAGAAAAAGTGATGGCAAAACAGGCGTCGGTAGTGCAACTGATTGAGCGCCCGCCCACGGAAAGGGTGAGATGCGAGTTCGGGTTCCTCTGGGTGTCAAGTTTTGCACATCACTTGACATCATTGGGTATATCCGCCACAAAAAGCTAGTATTCTAGTATTTTTGATGCTTTTTTCGCAGTGTTATGATGCTCATATAGCTAAGAGAATTGAGTGGTGAGCAAAAACACGGCCTAAGACGGGAAACAAGTCCGCGTTTCATCCATACCGGAGAAGAATGGTGCTACTACTACACCACCAAGGCATATTTGCCCGATCACTCACTGTTCAACATTTCTATGTTAGCTATAGCCACCAACCTTCAACAGGTTTAGTCAGGTATGGTTTCTCTTAGAAGACTCAGTTGAGCTGACAGCCATTGTTAGATGTAATACTCCTCAAATTCCACTGTTTGATGTAATACTTCTAACATAGAGATGTTAAAGAATGAGTGGTCGGGCAATTGTGCCTCGGTGGTGTAGTGGTAGTAGCACGTGTTGCCGGTATAGACGAAACGCGGGTTGGATTCGCTTCCGAGGCTGTGTTTTTGCCCACCACTCAATTCTTCTAGGTATATATGTAAAAAGCTGATAGTTACGGAATACAAGGATTCATCTAAACAACTTTGTTATTCACATATTAAGGGGCGCGATGGATCTCGTCCACTTTCCGTCAGTGATTTAATCGCGTGGCCAAGGGATGAGTCTCTCAATAGAATTGTCGCGGCCGTAGAAAAGGTACAATGCATAAAAGAATGTTATTTCTGAGAACCACTAGTGCATGAAGAAGCAAAACGTTTAAGGTTGCCATTACATCTGAAAAGTATAAGGAGTCGTTAGATCGAATAATCGACGAAAAGTTAAGAAGAGGAGAGTGTAACCACGAGGACCGCCGCTTTCATGTTGATAAAACAGTACGCAAACTCATCGTCTTTTTTCCTTCATCCTTGTTTTTTCTTAACGATATTAAAATCCAGTAGTTTGGATCAAGCGGATTATTCTTCAATTATGTCCTATCCATCTGTCACTCATTGTGAGAATTCTACAATTCTTGCATTCAAATCATTTCTCCGAATTCAGCCGATATTTCACGTGTTGATTTGGTTACAGCTTGAGGATTTCATCTTTCATATGAATGTCGCAAATTGTTGACCAAAACGATTCTCCTTGCAGTCTTGAGCTAGCCGAGTCAAGGAGGTCATCGCAATCAACTGAACGCACCTCTAAAGTAGTTCAACCATCGAATAACTCCAAAAAAAATTTGTTTTTGAAAACCATTCTTGTTGCAATAGTGTCAGAGGGACAAAACTTTGTTTAGTGAGACCCGTCTCAAAAACTGTTAAGTGATACTAAACAAACTGTAATTCACAAGATGGGAAGTGGATGAGTGGAAATTGTAAGGCAGTGTGTAATGATACGGTGCATCAGAAACAAGGAGCTGGTTCAATCCACTCTCGCAGAACTCTCTCTAATCAGTCAGCGGAAGCCTTGCGAAACTCTCTAGCTCAGCTACCTTCACGACTGCAAGGAGACACGTCTCGACACCATTCTGTGACTTGAATCGGGAGGCACACTCTGAAGGTTGCAGCTGAAGGAATACGTAAAGCATCTAAAGACCTTTGTGTCGAATAAATGCGAGTTGACTAATCGAAAAAACATGCAGTGCTGGAATCCGCGCAGTACGTTATGATCCATAGTCGTGTAAAATGAAATAAAAATAGAGACATCTACGAGAAAATTTCCATTTCATCGCTCTTATAGCAGTGTAATGATGTCATAACTACAAACCCATGGATGCTGAGTGATATGTATCACTTGGAGCCTCATATGGAGTTGGACTCGCATTGTATCCATCGGAGAAGACTGAAAACAAGAAACCGAAGAAAGAGTGATCTAATCAGAGGACTCGGTGTTGTAGTGGTTGCACTCGTTCAGGTATAGGTGAACTGCGGGTTCAACTTTAGCGTGCTGCGCGGAGTTTCGTATATCATCCAGCAAGCTTTGATAAATTATCTTTATTTCATTTTGGAGGAATCAAAAACAAGGTTTATTTGATTGTACTCAAACTAACATGCGTTCTTCAAGTAATATAAATCATTCAGTGCTTTTGCTTCATATTACTACCTCTTGCCTGCATTACCCTCGATACCACTAATCAATTTATAATCCGAGCGGATTCTTTTCCCTTATCCAAGGTACACGAAGAAATCCTCTTCTCGCAGGAGAGAAACTTTCCATAAGAGTGTTTCTTACTCACTTGCATGTTTGAACGGTCCGTATTCACGAACTGTGCTGATCTCACCACATCTTCCATTCGTCTCGTCTTCTCGCGATTGTCGTCCATGGCGGCGGTTTCAATCAAATATGGCCGCTGACGCGAGTTTCACATCGTGATCTATAGAATATCGGCAGATGCGAATACAGCTGATGCGAATATATGAATACAGCTGATTGATTCTTCTAGTGCATACGTCCGCCCAACGTGTAGGTGCTCGTGCTCGGTGACGGGTGTATTCTCGTGGCGTCCATTCTTCAGTTCGTTTTGTCCATCTGTCGTCTGCTCTTCTTAGTAAGTGATCGGCCCATCTGTGCTTTGCTATCGATGTGAATTCTTTTGCATCACGAAGATGAGATGAATTCCTGAGATCTGAGCTGCGCAAGCCGGCTAGGTGTTGTGAGTGCTGACTGATTTTAGGAAGACATCGTTCAAGTGCTCTGTGAGTTGTTCATAGTAGTCATGACGTGATTGGAGTATCAGCCACGTCTCCTCTGCATAAGAGAGTGCTGTAGGGACTGTTGAATCAAAAAGGTTAGAGCGTATTTTGGAGTCCGTTATTTGGTCGGTGGCGTCTTTGAGAGGCGAGTACAGTCAACGCTGCTTTCCTTCATCTGTGAAGTTCCTCCTTCATATTGTTCTCCGCATCCAGCGAACGACCGAAGTACACGTACGAGGAGGTCTCCGTAATCAAAGATCCTTCTAGTTTGATCTGTTAATCATTGAACCATTGGTTTTTCATGGACTGGGTCTTCATGCAATTTATGCGTAGTACGATCTTCTTTCCCATTTCGTTGAGTCCCTTGAGCATCCTCTTTGCTTCAGTAGTGCTTTTCGAGAGTAAGACAAATCATCCGCAAAACGAAGGTTGATAAGAATTTTCCATCGACGAGTGTGCCCTTTTCGTCCTAATCAAGCGACTTCATTATCCACTGCAGTGCCGCGGTGATTAACTTTGGCGATATTGTATCACCTTGTCGAACCTTTTTTCCAATGGGCATGGTAAGAGGTCGATGAAAGAGCTGCCGTTTTGTGGTACAGTTCAGACAACAGTCTGATAAAGTTTATGTAGGACGGATGCACTCCTTAATCGACAAGCACTGATAGGACTGCGTTCATTTCCATGCTATCAAATGCGTTTTCATAGTCGATGAAAGTAAGGATTAAGGGCACATGGTATTCCCGACAGACTTCTATGACCCTCGAGACGGTTTGGATGTGGTCCATGCACCAGAATCCCTGTCGAAATCTTGTTTGCTTAACTGGTGGTGCCTTATCCAATGTTCCTGATATGCGCTGAAGGATGATCTTCGTAAAAACTTGTACAATATGCTTAACAAGCAGATTGGACGATAGTTGGGAAGATCTCTTCGGTCACTCGTTTTGTGTATGATGACTGTGCGCTACGTCCTCCGCTGGTCTGGAATTTTCTTCTTTTGAAGGTAAGATGTCATATGTGCCGCGAGAAGTACATGCACATTATGTCCTCCGGCTCAGAAGAGATGTTAGCGAGTCCTGGAGCCGTGCCTTTTTTTATGCTTTCTATCGTGATTCGAACTTTGGAGGAGAGAAGCCCATGCGGTTTTTTCCAGTGGGGATTACGGGGTCCGAGTCGGGGATGGTGGGATGGAAAAGACTGGTTTAAACCTTTTCCGCTATCAATTATCGTAACGAAAAGTTTCCGTGATCTCATATTCGCTAATCAACGCTAACAGCAAAATTCTATAATCACACAGATTCCTACGGCACTTCATCAGACAAGATCTTTCTTGTGCTGCTTCTAACAGTTTCTTTTGTCGGTACCGATGTAGATCCTCCTGCAAAGCTCTTCTGTAACTGGTATTTGATATCAACAGAGCTAAATGTGTTGCATCTGGATCAAGCTTCAGCTTCTTTCGCTTTTCGAGCAGATCTTTCGTAGAGGAGAAGATGCGACCGGCTCTTCCGGGTTGAGTAAGTGAAGCTAAGTCGGCTCACTTTTTTGGTCCTTCGACAGCAGCTCATAGTCTTCGGTAGGATCATCCTTAATCTGCCAAAGCTAAAATTTGTGACTAGTGCGCTACGTGGTCGTTTTTTTTCTTTTGAAAGGACGCTTCTATGACGCTGTAGCATTTGAAATAAAATCTTGTTTTACATAGACCTCACGCCTTTATTATTACGTCGATCAAAGCGCGTAATCCATTTCAACGTGTAGGGGAAATCTTGTAGTATCAGAGTCATCCGTTTATGTGGAGTTTCATATAAAGCGGAAAACGCCTCAAATCAAATAACAAAATTTGCACTTCGCACGTTAATCTCTCTAACACGATAGATCGGTCGATTGCGAAGCGTCATATCGAATCCCGGCCAGCAGACACCCAGCCGACACTCTAGTTGAAAAACAGAGGCTTATGCATGTGAAACTCAATCCTATTTTCCCTACTGCACTGCAGTGAAATTGTCTTTACAGAAAATAAGCACAACATTGATTTTGCCGAAACTTATGCTATCGAATGGTTGCTCATAATTCTAGGGAACAGTTCTGTCTTGCGAGAAATATGCGTATATTGATTTTCGACAAGAATTTTTTGTTTATTTAATCGCTTTCTAGCGTTATATCGTTTTCAGATATATCCAATGATGCTGAGTAATGTGCAAAACTTTGACGTCAGGCGGGACTTGAACCCATATTTAACCCTTTTTGAGGGCTCGCGCTTAGCCAGCTGCACCATTTACGCCGAGTGATGGGAAAAACAGGTGTCGGTAATGCAACTGGATTAGCACGCGCCTCGAAGAGGGTAAAATACGGGTTCAAGTCCCTCCTGAACTCAAAGTTTTGAACATCACTAAGGATTACAGACGAATGTTTCTTTTCTGGTTTAGCGTTATAACAGGCTCTTCAACAAAAAGGCTATGTCGCAGTGGTCAGTGAGTTAAGCTTTCAAATGATTGCTGTAAGTGTAATGTAATGGATGGTCTCTGGCCAGTGAAGGGAGCTGTTTCTTCAATGATTTCCGGATAACGGATACAAGCCTTAATCGGATATCAGAAGAAAGTTTATTTATTGCTCCAGAGTTGCTACGAAGTGGATTGCGCTTACCTAGAGCGTATGAAGAGTGCTAATGTTTTTCGCGCGAAAGTCTTTATTCTTACTGCTTTTAGCAAAAACAGGATCACCTGTATCTCTTCATACCTATTTCTGCATCACTCTAATCATAGGTAGATTTTATTAAGTGGTGTACTTCTTGTTAAACTCGGCGAGACTTTCGTGCAGATGATCATCTTGATGGAAATGGTGAATCAGCACCCATGACACGTTGTCTTTGTCCAATGTGGTCATCAATTATTGCAAAAAAAAAACACCTTTCTTCCAATAACGCCTAATCTTGTCATAAAATTTCCTGGACTCTTTATTGCGCATCCTATTATCCAGTTGTATTCATGCACATAATTATGTCTTCAAAAATGTGTGCCTTGTTGCTAGAGGCGCCCTACAAAACGAAGACGATAAGTTGGTGGTTCGACTTTATGTTCAAAAGCACTGAGCCATGCATGCGTCCGGACTCGACATTTTGGTACAATAGTTATAAGGGTTTTTTTGGAGGGTGAAATAATAGTTCAATTCATCAGTGCCCCACCACACGCCATTTTGTGGACAACAAATTGTCTATCTAAGATGTTGCGTAAGTGGTATCCAATATTCCTGTTTTCCCATTTTTCGTCGTAATATGTTGGATAGCGGTTTTTTGCGTCAAATAGGGAATTAACTCATTGTTTTTTGAATTAGGATACCGATATTAGGGCTTATTTAGGTAGAATAAACAAGTTTATTGGAAATATTACTTTATTTATGTGATTCGCACGCAGTAGGCACTTCTCCGTATTGTCATCGAAGTCTTTAGTATGTGATATTGTAGGCTTGTAGATTGGCAATTAATTGGAATAAAGTGGATGAAAGTAAAAGGTATGGAGGGCAATTCAATAAATTTTATAGAATTGCGCGCTCATAAGATTCTAAAATGTTCGTAATGCCATTGACCAGAATGGTTACCACATCGACTGATTCAAATCTACATTTGATAATTTACGTGCCCTTTTTTTTGTTAAAAACGCTCTTGTTTCAATACAGCACTGAGTAGAAAATATCTTCTTTGTATGGAGAACACTCTAAATCGTCCACACTCAGCTTAGCTCAATATTCTTCTCACCACAGCCAGTATTGCTCATACAATTTCTGAGACAGAGAAGGTCAACAAAGACTTGTAAGATTTTCCTTTTCTCCCGCAGTAATCAACTGAATCTTGAAAAAATATTCTAATACATGATCACGCACATATCTGCCATAATGTGGGCGCCTTTATAGAGGTCACTTGCGCCTATTTTGTATCAGCTTTCTTATTTCCTTCTCTTTCATTTGTCACCGATTTTTAAATCTCATGATTATCGGTCTACATATTTCGTTTGCCTGATTCATATTCTGATCAAGCAATTAAACTCAAAGTTTATCGAAAGTTAGGATATTCAATGCAATTTATAAATAATTTACAGATTATAATTTAGTAAATGATCTCCCAGCAGTCTAGAGCTGATAGACAAAGTTTTAGGCGAAGTTAAATAATTCGCTCATATCGATGTTGCAAAGAGAAAGTGATAAGGACATAACATGCTTTGAGCTGTTAGGTCTACTGCTATACAGGCGCCTGTTTCGTCCTATTGGGACTCAGTAGCGCCCTCCTTCGGTTCAGCTGATCCGCTGAGGGTAAATAATCCTCTATAAAGGAATCGACCCCGAGTAAAAAAAATCACCCCAAGTTAGATGATGGAATTTACCTAACATTGTGGTGACCTGCAGTCGAGATTGTAGGTTCTACGATTTGATATATAATATATCATTATCAAATCATATCTTTTGAGCGGGTCTATATAAGAGCAGTCATGAGAGGTAAAGAGAAAATTGGCAGAACTGTTTAGTCTACGGTATTAGTTCGAGATTGTGAATTCTATTGCTGAGCGATGGTTTTCAACCCGGTTGCAATCCATTCTGGCTCCAAACTTTGCTCAGCTCCTTCTTCAAGTCGTTAATTACTGTTATTGAGAACTTCTGACAAGTTTATGATATATTCGACATGATATATATTTTTTTTTTTGGAATAATTTTTTGATGTAAGAAATTTTTCGATTTATCATGTTAGTCTTCCCCAAATTGATTAACTTTTTCAGGTTTTGTTGTTTCCTAACAATTGTATTCGAAAAGGTGAAGGTCGCTTCAGAGAGCTCTGTCAGAAACTTCTCATTGGAGCTCATTCTATCTCATTTTAACCAGATGACTTCATTACCACTAATCAGCGTTATGCTGAGCAGCTTTGGCGAAATTGTATGCTCTAGTATTTCTAATAATGATGACAGTAACAAGCAATGAAAAGATCTTTTTCCAATGAAGAATTCGAGGTAGAAGTCAGCTAAAGCTTTTCATTAAGCGCGAGCCAATTCTTTTTTGACGCTCATTCATAGGATGACGTTCGTTGTGACACTGTGAGACGGTTTTTTTGTACCGGACAGATGCAAAGAGAAACGTCAATTGGCAATCCTTGTGGTTTTTCATAGCGACATACAAAAATGTCGGAAACACTGTAGAACTGCTTTTATCTCTTTAAACTCCTTTAAATGCGTCCATAGGCGATTTTCGTAAATAACTTGTGAGGCATGATGGTCAACTTGCTCAAATTGTCGTTGCAAAAATATTTTCGACCATGTGAGACTCTGAATAGTTGATTTTGATCAAGAGCGGCTCTTGCTTTGCTTATACTAGTGCATAATTGAGTATTCTGCGCCTCATTTTGACCATTCCAGATTTCAAAGATAACAAAATCCGCCGAAACATTCAACTTACTATTGACACTCTCGTGTCTGCTCAAAAAAAAAAGTGGTGGCGTATTTTCTACTTTTCTTTCCGAGAAAATGTTTTTACGCTTTTTTTTTGAAACCTGACATCACATATTGCGCGGAAGCACATCATGCATACATTTCGCTCTATCGCGAGTATCTTCCATAAAATAATTGAACTTTTGCATGAGGGCTCCTGCTGTTTCACATTTGCCGTCTTCGTAGTCAATAACTTTGATGGTCGAGTGTATTTTCTCTGAAATCCTACGAGTGCAGCGATAGGGAGTTTCTATGAGGATTGGAGAGACTGACCTGATTCTGAACAATCGTGGCATAGAAATCGCCATTTAGAAAGATGGAGACTTTGTGAGCCATGAGCGCTAAAGAGAGCGTATATAGCAAAACAACTTTTTGAAAAAACACTTCCGTATTAGACATAACAGGTATCATCGATTCAGTGTAGCTCCACATGGATTTAGGTCTCAATTTCTTCTCATAACAATTCTACATTGAAATAATCATCAAGTCAAATATAAAGGCTCAAGAAGTCTATATTATGTCACAAAAACTAATGGGGACATTCTGCCATCGCTTTTCAAATGACATTGCTCTTATAACATTAAACAAATAGAATGAATTCAGGCCGATTTTTACGGCGTGTCTACAGGGTCTTTATTTCCGTCAAAGCGTATAGAAATGTGTATTAACTAGAACAGATATAACGAGAAACGGATTTAGTTTAACGCCCATTCTCGCTGGACATTCTAAATATCCTCGAATAATTCAGCATTATAGATGTGGCTTTTGAATTATATTAGGCCTTCTCATAAGTTCTGACTTTAGGACAATGGACACTGAATATTAAGAGGAAGTAATTGAAAGTGCTTAAGTACACTACTCAAACTATGCGCCATGGGCATGTAGTCTAGTATCTGTGGCTCGATAGTCCATGTTGTATCCTCTTCAGTTGCTTTGATGATGGCCTTTCGATCAACTTGGGATGGACGTCCGGAGCCGAACTGCTCCTTTAAGTGAGTATTGTCGATGCGCAACTCAGGAAAAATTGAAGCGTTGTTCGCCCTGGACACAAACCTTGAGCCTTTGCACGATTGACGTTTTCGAAGGCGATCTGTGCATCGCATCCCAAATCGTACTCGTAAATCACCAAATTGCGATAAACTCCGTTGAGCAGCCATTATGCGGCAAGTATGGATAGAAGTTGCACCATAAGAAAGCTCAGGAGATTCTGCACAAAGCATTATTGATTTATTGTCTGGGAGATGGCAGAAATGTGTTCAGGCTGATGGGGCATGCTTTGATTAGCGTTGTCAAGCATTTTTTTTACTTCTGTTCAAAAGTTTTGGTGTTGATTGATCTAGTGCCAAAACTTATGGGAAGACTCAATATAAGCTTGCGCGGCCTAACCTCTGTAGGAATTGCAAGATCCAAAAATAATAGCTGTCTTCAAAGTTGAGCCAATATATTTTAGCTCATGGTGAGCTTCATCAATTTCAAATAGAAATGATCAAAATCTGCAATTTTTCTTGGACCCCACAAAACGTGCCTTTCCCGTTTTTCTTCGTTCAAGCTCGTTTTTCAAACACAAAATAAATTGAACAAAAGAGATTTTATTTCATGGATTACGATAAAGTATAAAAGGACAAAGCGCTAGGTATTGATCAATCTTCGAGGGATGCTTCATGCATTTGTTAACAATTTTTAACTTCGATCGAGGTGATTGAATGGATATCTGACCTTTACAATGGCTCGCGGTCACCTCCTGCTATAGTTTGGTGAGCCATGAGCGCGGAACTGAACCATCGACCCTGTGTAGAACGCAGAGTACCTCAAAACAG